AGCATTAATATAATAAGACAAATAAATTTCAAGAGAAAATTATTCGGAGGTTCAATTCAAATCACTATCTATTTATATTATAATAAAATCTTTTGTAAGTATATTCTTATAGAAATAATTCCCGTATTTTATTTCAATTTTTATAATTAATAATATCTACTTCAAAATTTCCAGAAGTTCGATATTAATTTTCGCAATATTTTTCCTTACAAATTTTAAATTAATATATATATCTCTATATTCTAAACCACTTCATTTCAGAATTTCTAATCATTTTATAAATATATCATATTTATATTATCATTCATTCTTATCTTTTATAAATTTGCTTTTATCGAATTTCCGAAGAAAAAGAATAATATTTTCAATATTTCAAGAAATTATAGAAAAATATATAGCAAATCAATATATATTTATCAATCATTTATATTAATCATAACATTTTACAAAACTAATTGCAATAATATTAGATAAATATTATCAAAAATAAAAGATTCGCTTTCCAACATAAGAAATATTACATCTCTTTCTCGAAATAAAAAGTTTCGCAGAAAAGTAAGATATTGAAAGAAAAGAAAGATCATAGAACAAAAACATTCCATTAAAATCTATTTCTTCTATAAATCTGAATCAAGTATAATCCAACAAACATTCAAGTACAGCAAATTGAAATATTTGATATGAAAATCTAACGAATCATATTATGTGACGACAAAACTATTTGAGATACCGAAATCTGATTTTTCTGAGAAAATAAACAACCATACCTTGTCTAAACATACCCTGTGCATGAACCTCTCATGATTGCGCTATGTTGTTCGAACACAGCCCCAGATCCGAAAATGAACTATTACCACCAACTCATCTTGGCGCGTTGCAACTTGAGATTCTTCAATACTTCACTTTGATGCGGTCTCATCCGAAGACTTTAGACTGATCTAGTTCTATGAAACCCTGAAGTTCTGATTTGATGCACAGTTGCGGACATGACCTCGATAAGTAGCTTGTGACCGAATAATCGGTTTCCGATTGCTGAACAACTATATGAAATACCAATGACCGTAGGTATCATGGTCATTCGGGGCGATCAATGCGAACAAACCCATGACCCATCATGTCTTGCGCGACCTTGCTTCATTAACTCCTGCAGCCTTCGTGTCTCGTTATCTGAGACTCATCGTAACTTGTGAACCATCTGATGACCTGTCAAAATCAGATGAGAAATAGAATCCAGTGTCCGGGCATCCCCGAAGCCTACAGTTAGAGGCTGCGATTCGACCGATCATGTAGCTCGGACCCGCACCTCGCGGTATGTGCTGCCATAGGGTTCATGATGTCCTGCGGCAGCTGTGCTACGTGAGGGTCTCGGAGGCAGCAGTCAAGCAGCATGCACTCGGGTGGGACACAGGTTTCGTCGGAGGCCGTACCAGACACACGGTTTTGAACATCGGGCTTGAAAATTAAACAGGGCCAGGATGGGCCTGCGGCATGACGGCACGCTTAGGAAGGATTTATCCGTAATTAAGCAAAATGTCCAGGTGCCTTCAAGCGTGCGTAAGGCTGCAAGCCCCAAAGTATCGCACATCATCCTATCTCCCAGAAGGAAGAAACTCCTCACTCCATCTTCGGGTTTTAACCTTGCGCCGACATTCCTGAATTGAGTTAAGTTCTCCAAAATCTCCACGCTGCTGCCCCAAAGGTTATTTATTCACGAGAGCAAGATGTAGCAGAAAAGACGAGATAAATCCACCATGATTATGAATGTGCTGGTGGCGACAACGGAATAAGCCGCTGATTAATGCGGGATCAGCTTACTGAGTGTCCCGGCCATCGTTTCCCGTGTTGCTGCTGCCCATTACATTTAGAGCTCCTGCTATTTTCCGTCGTAGAACACCATCGGTGTTATTCCAAGTCCAAGTCTTTTAAGAATCCCATCCTTGCCCCGTCCTTCTCGGATCGGCATGGAATACTGATACAAAGATGTACCAGGCCAAAGTCTGGCACAGGCTACGCTTCTTGGAGTTCAGGGCAACAGGGGGCTCACTTTAATAATGCACATGAAAGGTCGCGAGCGCGCATCACACTCACACCCAGACACGCAATACAACACGCCACTCAAGAATCAAGAATACTTGGTGGTTGCCGCTACTCTCATCTTGAGCACTCGCACACCTATGTTCCTGCCCCTTCAACATGTTGGGGTACTTGGCGTTTGGGTTCAGGGTTGGCGGGATCGGGCTGCACGGCTTTAGCTCCATGATTTTCGGAAGTGATTGGTTCGGGTGTTAGCTTTGTTTTGTATCTAGGGGTTTCAGAGTTCGAGTCTTTGGGATGTTTCTCCAGGATGCCAGGTGATCGATTTCTTCACAAGTGTTTTGTTGCAGGAATCGTTGGCAGTGGAGGACGCTTCATTCTGGGTCCATGTCGATTGGAATGCAGTTTCACAATTCCCACGTGATGCCATTGCACGCTGCAAGCACGACGGCATGACTGGCAGTCCAATAGAGAATGCCTTGCAGCAGCAGCAAGTCGTAAGATGGTTCAAGCTGAACTGCAAAATGGCAGTAACTCCGAGGCAGAAGCTTGTCTGCAAACTCGCGGAAGTACAGCTTCCTCAGCCTTTTGTTCAACCTGAATCTTGCAAGCTTGAAAGCATATTCCTTTATTCGTTGTTACTTTGATTCTTGACAACAGTGGCATCCGACCTTGGCCTCAGCCAGATCCCAAAATGAAACATGCGAAGCTAAGCTTGGGCAGGATTTTCATTTGAGGTTCATTGTGAGCAATGAATCAAGTGCATGCAAGAGATTCGAGTTAAAAGTTCTAGGATTTCCGCTGCAGCCACGGGGCAGTGCCGCATTGTCGGACAGGCTGGAGTAAGAGAGGACCTTGAGTCAGGTTGTAAGGATTTGTTGAACGGCTTTAGAAGCCGCCTGGACATCACCATCTTGCATGAAAGCATGTCTACCAGGTGCCATACCAGATTGGAAGCTTTTGCCAGGGTGCAGAAGTCCTGATGGCGTCTTCTGTCTTCGACTTTCTGAACTTGAGACCTAGTCTAGGAAGCTCAGGCAGAAAGGCATCCTCGAGAAGACTTCCCGCTTGCACCAGCACCTGTGCATGCTTGCACCCGGTCAAAGACAGGGAGGGATCCCTGGGCAGCTCGAATATGCTCGGATGATTGCCGCGCCAGACCATGTAGTGAACATGCTGGACATTCGCAGTGACAACCCTCGAAAAGTGCAACAACTTCTGTCTTATTGTTGAGCTTCGAGTGCATACTTCCTTTCTACGTCAAAGTCAAGCATGTAACATACAAGCATGGTGCCACGAAGACATACCACGAAGACCTTGCCTTGACACCCATCTGCGCGGCATTGGCTTTCATCCAACCAACGCAAGTATGTCGCCTCGGAGGCACGAAAACCAGTTTAGGCCCTCAAACCTGACGATGGTGGTCATGTTTATCATGACCACGTGGCACAAGCAGCATCACAACCGTACCCAGGCACAGGTCTGGACTTGTGACGATGCGAACCTTTTTGAAACCTGAGCTTTTCGGGTGAAGGGCACGGGAGTGGTTGTAAGCCGTGGTGGCACAAAGTTCCAGCCCAACAGCCCGAACTCGGAGTTCCGGACTTATTTTGCCCCAGATGCAAGACCTTGTATTGTACCTTCTGAGCCCTAAACCCTGAGTTGGCGTCAAGCCCCAGCCCCAGAATCCTCAATGCAATCCGGGCTTGCAGCCCAGACACCTTCCTCCTCCTGAGCACCATGCAAGATTCTTGGCTGGGGGCCTACAAAAGCCTGGGGATCTTCAGAGAGTCAGAATGTAGCTCTATGGAGGGCTTCATCATAGGATTTGTGAACCTGCATCGGGCATGCAAGAAAATGGGCCATGGCCAAGCTTGAGCTCCTGGCAATGATTTTGCGATACAGCGTGCATGGCCTTCCGGTACAAACTGGATTGATCCTGCTAGTTCACCATCGCATGCTCGCACTAAGCAGCGGACGGCTGGTGCCACAACCAATGGTGCGCATTCGCCTCCGAGATAACGCAAGGACAAATGAAAAGCTACTTTGTATCACGGGGACCGTGACATACCGTGAACCCGGGATCCGTTTTGGCTGCAGGGGTTTGTGTTGCATCCATCCTTGAATACTACGATTTTCGGGGTCGATCAGCTCAGGAAAAGGCTGCTGGATAAAACATGCAACCACCAACTGTTAACCTTACGGCTACTTTGTATAGGCACTGCCTGCAAGGACAATGGCTCGTTCGCGGTGACCTGATCCTCTTGTAGACCCCAAAGGTCCTCGCGTGCCATAGGTGCTCAAATCGATGTCTTGCTTCAAGGGCTGAGGAGCTTGATGGTTTGAAAGCTAAGGTTCGATTCTTAAGGCCTCCAAATCGAAAGAGTGCAGGGGTAGGGGATTTCGAGGTTAGGGGTCAAAAGCTAGAGTTTAGTTCTCTTGTTCCAGCTCCTCTACTCGATGACTAAAGTGACTAAAGCCTTCGCAGGTAGGCTCTGGTGCTATCTCTCTTAAGACAGTCGCATGGTGCAAGTTGTCGCCTCCGACCGACTTGTTCGCAACTCGCCATGCCACGCCATTCGCAGAACGGTCAGCACGAAACTTAACTCAAGCAAGCCCGCAAATCACCAGGGTACCCAGCCGATGCCCGACTATCATGAGCAGCTGATGGGTCAACTGAACGTCCGTGAAATTCTGCCCGCCATTCACTCACAAGAGAGAGGCGCAAACTCCTCGTAGCTCGATATGTGGGGCCAAGATGAAAGACCCGGTGTGTCCACCGGAGCCTGGTGTGCCCACCGGAGTCGACACCATCCACGACCCAGTGTAGCGTCGGCCGAGAACGCAGCTACCTTTCTCTGTCCCAGCACTTTTGAACTTGCGTCTTCCCAGGACATTGGAACTTGGCTTGTCTCCAAGGCTTCATGTTCAAAAAATAAGTTTTCTGTAAAGTGCGTCCAGCAGCAAATCTTGGAAGTGTTCACACATTGGTTCCCAAAATGGGGGTGCCGAGGGTTTACATTCATCTCTGTCAATATCCTGCAGCGCCTCTTCCAAACATGACAATGGCAGGGGAATCTGTGACAGTCTGTGTTGCAGAACGAACTGTAGAAATCCTAAAGCATTCAACCCACCTGCCTTACGCAAAGCCCCCACTGCATGAGCCCTGAATACCATAAGCGTAGAATTTGCAGCTCTGAAAACCACGCTGATTCCGTTTAAGCCGAACCATGCCCTAGCTTGAAACTGCTAAGCAGTAAGAAAAGGTGGCGGTCACAAATCCTCAGCTTTTGGTTGTAGTTAGAAATCAGAAAGAAACACGAATGTACATGCGCAAGTGAAAAGTATATAATTCGGAGAACTGCGCCTAGCCATATATCTGTGTGTAAGCGGGCAAGCCCGAAAGCCACAAAATGGAGTCCTCGCCCCGGAGGTGGATCGTCAACTCCTTGCCAGAGGAAGTTGGTTGCACTCATGTCGAAGGCTGCAGCTTACATTGACGTGCCTCCTCGGTTGTGTTCTTACAGCCGACATTTTTCTGTGGGCCGTGGGGCAACAGTGGGAGAGTTTGGCCCATTCAACTTTCGTTGCCAGTATGCACGTACCCACAAGTGCTCGAAGTACTCATTCGTCTCAAGCTTGCAGTGGCCACTGGCAAATCACAACACGGGTGGCGCTGGTGGTAGTGGAAGCAGTCGCTGATATTAGAGGAAGTAGGTAGCAGTCATGATGCTTCTTGAACATGTTGAAGGATTCAGAACACCTGCCTCCTCCTCCTCCTTCTCCTGCTGTGCCTCCTCATCGCCGTCAACATCATCAGCACTTTTCGTGGTTCATTACCAATCGCACTACTGTTATTACTGTTGCGGCAATACCTTCCTGAGTCATGTTCATCATCGTCGTCATCGGTGATCATCAGCACTCGAAGCACTGCCTGTAGTGCTTACCTCGGCCATGGCTGAAGCCTTCTCAATCTACGGTCCTCCTCGGCATCATCAGCAACGGAGTCCAGACCTGGGCAAAGGCTTCAGGACGTGGGGGGATGGTAGAGGCGCCTTGATAAGTGGAAGGGGGTTCTGTGGTATACCAGATAGACGGGGACTATGTATAGGAGGATGCTAACACTGATTGTTCAGATCCTAGCTATAGTACCAGAAATTGAGGTCAGGGCTTTTGGAGGCATTTCAGGGAAGCTGCCGACTCACCCCTCTCCGGGCCGCTTGCATGTCCGGAACTTGGGCGAGAAAGCCTTAGCATGCAGGGCCACGGCAACATCATTGAATCATCACCATTGCCGCCATAGGCAGAGCAGTGCTGCGTAGGGCGAGGAAGACACTGAGCTGCGGTAGCATGAGCAGCAGCAGAGCAGCACATGGCAGCTTCACAAAATGAAGATATTTGCAATGACCCTACAGCCCCAATTCCAAACTTTTTCTAGAATCCCCACATCCTGGACAGGCCGCAAGTTAGCAAGGCGCTGTTCAATAAAGGAATGGGTTTGGGGAATCCCAAAGCCCGAAAGACCTTTCGTACAGGCCCTGTTCTAGACTAGGCCTCTCTGCTTCTTGCTTCCCCTCTCGCCTGTCCCTTTTCTACTGCTTCCGGGTCGAGCCCAGGGGCCTTAAATTGAAGTCTGGGCTGGCGAAGCTCACGAACCTATGCCAGCCGAAAGCCATGCATGGCCTTCGGCGGAAAATTGGTTCTCTGGGCTGCGCACTTGATGCAAAGTCTCCACCGCCAGGGTGCGGCAGTCCTGACAGCTTAAGATGATGTGGTTTGTTTCTAGACCATGGCCCTCTGAAAGTGCTGCATATGGTGAGTTCAGGTTCGAGTTTATGCCTTGCAGGGAGCCGCAATCTGGAACAATGCGTCCTAACTGCCATGTAAGGGACAACTAGAATCCAAATTCATGCTGTGCAAAGTTCCTTAGGGGAGAAACCGAAGAACAAGCAACCAGATTAGCTTGACATACAAGTAGGGTCCTACACCCCAAGACCCCAAACCCAAAACTTTGAAAACCCAATCCTAATTCATAAAAATTCGATAAAGCACAAACAAATCTGAAACCAACCCCAATGCCGCCGAACCCGGCATCAAAGGGCTCTAAACCCAACATTCTTGCCAAACCCGAACCAGCCAAACCCACGACAGCATCAAGTCTCCGATCCTGGGCCGAGGTTCCTTTGCATCTTTCGCCCTCACGGAGTCGTTGAAAGATACCGAGGAGGGTCTTGGGGTTCTTTGGGAGCTTTGAGATTGAGGGTCGCCTTGCAAGGTGACTGGAACGGCTTCCAGATGCTGAACCCACGCTCATCCGACAATCACAAGCCCTGCACCCTACTCCCTTTAACCCCTTATCCCTCAAAGGCTCCAAACGCCTAAACCCCAAACCTTCGCACCTCAAAGTTGTAGACTTGGGCTCTGGGCAGCATCGTCATCCTTACTGGAACTTCTCTGTGGTAGTTTCCTCGTTGGGCTCTAGGGGGATTCAAGCAGATTACTGCGCTCTAGGGCCTAGTGAGGGCACAACCCGAATCTGCACTGCCATCGCTACGCGCCCAAGTGCACTAAGGCCAGGTCGGGCACCAATGGGCCCCCTGAAGGCGTGAGCTCCGAAGAGGCAACCTGACCTCAATTGCAGGGTGTACGGAAATCTAAACCACAAGACAGCTACGGGTCTCGAAAACACATGTGTGAAGGGTCCCGTGCCTTCCGCCCAAAGATCTCTTGGAGGTACTTCTTCTGCAAGACCAAGCTGACTGCGGTATAGTTGGAAAGCTTTGCAAACACCAGACCACCTTGGTGCGAGCTGACAGCCGAGCTATGCGGCATACACACACTTGCTGCCAAGGTGCGAACAATGAAGCCCAAATTATTGCCTAGTCTTCCGGGCCCGTCGGTCACCTTCCACTTCAGGACTTTGCTTTCGGTATGCTGCTGGCTTATCTAGGCAGAAATGATTATGTAGCTACGAGCTGGCACCGCACGAGCCAATGCCTGCATCACAGCCCCGTCGTTGTCAGAACCATCTATCCAAGTGCGACCACGTTGAAGCAGTGCGCAGCTGTCGTCTGCTTGAGCTGTCACAGGTTCTGCGGATACGCAGTAGGCGACCAGCTCGGACCACCGAGAAACGGCGCTTTGAGCAGATGTTTCAGCCCACAGAAGCAGCCACAGCGCCCACAACACCATGGCCGGGCCCGTTTTTAGTCACATGTCTGAAAAACCTATACGCCTGAGGGCGTGTTCTGGATTTCAATTTGTTGCAATGGCAAACGCGACTCAAAGTGTTGCTTTCTGCCTTGGTCGTGGTACAGCATCCAAGCGTTGTACGTCTGATATACGACAAATGAGCTAGGAGATGGTCTCAAGGCAGTTTGACATCCCTAGGCCCTAGAACATCAAAGATCAGATGATCCCAGATGTCAATTAACATGCTTTACTAAACTGAACCTTGCAACTGAACCCTAAACCCCAACTTCGGGTAAGATATATGTAACAGTTCGACACCGGAGGCTGAGTCGGCCGCGATGGAGAAGCTGGCGACAAGACAACATGCAACTCGCGTTTGCATCGCTGGGCCAGCATGGGCTGTTATGAAGAAAGGTATCTGCATTTGCTGGGAAAGAGAGACAGCAAAGACAGCGGGCGAGAGAAAGAGAGAAGGAGAGACAGAGAGTCAGAGAGAGAGAGGGAGGAAAAAACAGGGAAGGATCGAATTAAAGAAAGCGAGAGAGAGAGAGAGAGAGAGAGAGCGGGAGAGAGAGAGAGCGGGAGAGAAGAACAGAGTGACAGACAAAGGCCGAAACAGAACACATAGATCATTCTTGAAAGATGTGTATATATTTTTGTAAAACACTAACAAGACAGGAATAATGGCAAACCATCGTCAATAAGTGGTGTATGAGTAAAATACAAAAGCTATCGAACTTTGGCAAAAAGCTGCACCTGGCTACAGCAAAATGTGCAGACGATGATGTTGCGTCCATTCAGCTGTGTGCGTGCACACTTAACAATCACACCAGGGCAAAGAGTTTATTATTCCTTCCGCGGTATTAGTTCCTACAGCAATGGCGACTCGTTTCACTCATTGGCGATGCGATCTAGCTGCTCTAGCCCGAGTTTTTCTTCTTCATTGAAATCGAGCACTCTGTCTCAGGGGACATCTTCCAGCATGTCAAACCCTGTACTTCAGTAATCAGGCTTGGCCAGCGCACCGATTCGACTCTGCTGCTGCCCGTAGGATAATGCAGGCCCGTCCAGACTCTGAGGCTTGGCCCCGTTCAGATGGCTGGTCAAGGTGCAAAGCCATGGGTGCTTGCCAAGCATCAGAGCGAAACGTGCAAGACAAAATCTTGCATGTCCTGGCCCCGACTGGGGGCAGCATTGAGGACACAAAGCAACCAGCCGCTGGGGTAGCCAGGATTTGTGCACAGGAAACACGACACATCATGAAGAGATGGAAGAGAATGACTGAAATTGCGGGCGCCGCACCACGCTAAGGAAAGAACTGCAACCCAGTTGTCTGCAGCACGATAGCGAAGTGTTGCAGGATAAAGCTCCACGGATGTGGGCGTGACCCCATGTGGATCAGCGGAAGCTTCTGCTGGCCAGATCCGGACATCGCACTCCACATACATCAAAATCATCAAAGCCACGGACGTACGGCCGTTGATGGTGCAGCTTTTCCTCAAATAGTACAAGAAACATACAAAGTGTCTCCAGTTTCGCTGCGGTCGAAACGCCTGTCTCGAAAATGTAGCACAAAGGGCGCCATTGGAGCTTGGTACATACAGAAACATCCTTTGCCTCCATATAGCCAGGCTTGTTCATCTCTAGTTGCTTGTGGAGCCTTTGTCTTAAATCATCACGAGCCAGCTGGCTTGCACTGGCTTGCTCGTGTACCCGAATTGGACGTGTCGCTGCATAGTCTCCGAGGCTTTGTAAGCCGTGCTGCATCTCGGAATCACTAACTCCCTAACTCCTGCCTTGGACCACGGCAATGGATGAGCTGATATGTTGATATTCTCGATGAAGTAGCCTTCCACCAGCTTGCTTTTGTGCTCGTCGACCTCCTGAGTCGTTGGCATCGTACCTGAGAGCCCCCGACGTCGGGCTTAGACTCACGAGCAGTACTTCCCCGATAAGACTTGCGGATGAAGATACCATGAAATGATGCTGACACCTCCGGCTCTTGAGTGAAGAGCGGGTCGCAGATTTGTAGAGGCGCTTAGCTTGAGATTGATCTTGAAGATACATGTGCGCTGCATGGGGCAGAGAGATACAAGAAACTTGCTCATGACAGCAATACTTTTCAAGGCCGAAGAGATCGGGTGCGTGCATGCGGAGTCTCCATACAAGTAGAGCCTGTCCGTGCTCTCGAGTCCTGTTTGCTGCAGCCAGCTGTCGACAGATTCGCGCAGGCTTTTGCCCAGAAGGTGCCAGAAGTGGTCGCTAAGGTTCTTCCTTGGCAGTACTTCTCCCTGGTGTCTTGGTTCGCTTCGAAATTCTGCATTGGCGCATGCTCCCAAGTCTGACGGATCTTGGTGCATTCCTGCAAAGGCCATGCCACAATTAGGCAACCCATAGAACCGGGAAGGCCATCCAAGCAGGCGCTCGGGCGCGCGACCTCGACTCGTCTTCCAGGTGGCCATGGCAAAGATTGCCGAACCCTTCCGTGGGACGAGGGCCCTGAGGGCGCGGTATCTCGGCAATTCAGCGTTGGTTCAGGGTCGCGAGAGCCCGAACTTTAGAGGGAAGAAGGGCACTGTTGACTAATGAGATCAAACCTGATTCATGACTCTCACTCTCAATTTTTAGCCTTTCGCAGTCGCCAAGGTGCAAGCGCACGAAGCTAAGCCTGCAGACTGGGTGACTGCTATGGAAAGAACGAAACAGGCTGCTTGTCAACACGTCGGCATCGATCTGGAGACCACAGCAGAAAAAAAAACGGGATCACTGTTGCCAAGCTCAGCGGGGTATTCGGCCCTGCACTCCTGAGATTTTGTCGATCAGGTTCCTGTGGGGTGGCAGCGTCGCGAAGGAGCCAAACAGAGCACCTTCGAAGAAGCCATGGCTGTCTTGCCGAAACAGGGCCTTCAAGTTAGATTCCACGAACGCTTGCGCCGCTGGCCCTTGGCTTTGAACTTTCAGCCCTTGCAACCCGATGGTCCGGCTCCAGCCCGGCCAGAGTGCCAACACATACACACGGCGTCCTTGTGCAGCAAGATCTGCCCTTCTGTGCCATCAGAACTGGCGTCCACATCAGCAGCAAATCCGCGTAGACGTGCCCCTCTGCGCAATCAGAATAGGTGTCCATCTTGGGCTGTCGCAGCCCACCTTACCTCTGAATCTGGGGGATACTGCTGTAGCATCCCTGCGTACTGGCTGTAGAGTCTCCCATCAGCCTCTTGCTGTATGAGCACATCGGTGTAAAGGTGTTGGAATCTGGCCAGCCTGCACAGTAGGACTTTAGGGTTAAGGACTCGGGCTCCTGAGACATCCAGGTACCATGGCTGCTTCCATTCTCAATGGACATGGAAGACCGAGCCTTCAACGGACATCGTCATTGTTTCTCAACACCGGACGAGCCCGAAGCCCTCAACACGGGAAAAACCACTCTTTCACCCAAAACCCCGCAGCAAAGGAGAAGCCTGACGGCTTCGGCGCCCCCGTGGAGCTCGAACACTGATTGGCGCTCGAGGTCGAAAAGTGCCTCTGCATTTTTGGCGGCCACAGTTCCCGGGTTTGGGGCCCTTGTGGCTGATGGTGTCAGGTGGAAAACTAAAACCCTGATCAATGCATGAGCTTCTGGGCAGGTATTTTGTCATGTCCCGTTCAAGCTACCGTGGTTCCCAAGACTGCGACTCTGACCATCTTTGAACCCCAATCGACATCATCGGCGACTAAACCCTGAACCCCTAATGTTGGCAGGTTTTCCAGGCTCCGGGGAGCAGGGGCAGCCCCAAAGAGCTTTGTTGCTTCTTTCGGCAGCCCCAAAGCTGCAAATAAAGATCGGGCTAAGAAGCCACAAGCCATGTGCAAAAGTTAGAGCTCCCCAGCATTTCGAAATGATCAGGGCATGGGCCTAAGCAGCATTGCTTCACGGAAGGGTGTTGGATTCCTCATTTTGCGAGGCTCGGAACTCCAAACGTCTAAAGTGACTGTCGGAAAGGATGCAACTTGAAACTCAAGTTGTTCAACAGTAACACTTCCGGCCTCAATCGAGAGTATCCCTGCAAAGTCACAGTGGTTCGAATCTGCAAAGTCACAGGCCTAGGGTAAAGCTGAAATCTTGAGGCCGATTAGGTTTGGGGCCTATTGCTTCGAATCCATCCCACAACGCCAAACCCCACAACAGATCCTGCAACCTAAACGCACAGGGTCCCTTCAACGTAAGCTTCAAGCCTCAACCAAGCGGCGGCGATGTGATTGAAACGGAAGTGGGAGGCCTGCGTCGCCTCGATGGTCCGCCGCACCTCCTCGGCCTCTTTTGGGGCTGGTTCAGGGGGCTCTGGTGCTCAGGGTTTGGCTTTGGGGAGCCTGTTGATGCAAACCTACGTCCTGATTCGCTAACCCGGCGGTTCCAAATCACGTTTTGTTGACTTGAAAGCTTCGGTCGAGGATTTCTAGAGCGGGTAATGGTTGTGGTGCTCTAGCGATTTGAGCTTGGGGTCTGGATTTAGGGACTTGCGCTTGGGGGGGATGTAGCCATCAGGTGTGCAGGGCTTTACGATGAAGCTGAGGCTGCGGCCATCCATACTCTGCTACCCACCTAATCTGTCAACAAATCTATCAATCTGGCTGTTGCCTACCTACCTGCCTGCCTGCCTACCTACCTGCCTACCTACCTACCGACCTACCTTCCCACCTACCTACCTGCCGACATACGTACCTACGTACCTACGTACCTACCTACGTACCTACCTGCGTATCTGCCTACCTACATACCTACCTTACATACCCACCCACTAACCTACCAACCTGCCAGCCTATCCGCCTACCAACCAACCAACCAACCTACCCACCTACCTACCTACCTACCTGCCTGCCTACCTACCCACCCACCCACCCACCCACCTACCTACCTACCTACCTACCTACCTACCTACCTACCAAGCCACCGACCAACCTACCTAGCAACCAGCCAGCCGATTCATTAATGAGTCTATCTACCTATCTGTGTATGCGTGCGAATCATAAGATAACTTTTGGAGACCAGCAGATATGTGAGTGCAGTAATGTACGATGGAAGGCAAAACCCTTTTGTAAGCTTCTGCACATACAGACCGTTAGTGTCTTGTTACGTTCAAAACGCCACAGCCTGAAGTCGTAACCTTGTGTCGGGGAAACTTCGGGCCCGACACCCTGAGACACCTTGGTTCGAAGTTTTGGCTTCGCTCAAATGGGACAAATCACAATCCTGGGAAACCCCGAAACCCTGAACCCGGGTACAACCGGAAGGAAAACTGCGAGGCCAGCGCCTCGTCCCCCTTCTTCACCGCGGGATTCCAGAACGAATCGTGCTCTCCTATGGACAAACTCTTGTTTGCAGGGACCATCTTTTTCTTGCTAGGCCTGGTTAGAGCGTCTTGTTGTTTTGAGTGTTGGCCGAGGTCGTCGAAACCTCATGTCCGAAAGTCGCTATCCTGGCCCTAGCGCCCGCGAGGCATCTCAAGCAGATGCACGTACGCACAGATGACAAGCGCTGAACCTCCACGAGGCATCAAGCTGTTTCTCGTAGTCTACTTCATCATCTCCGATTCTCTTGCTGCTGTTTCTCCTGACAGGCATCACGCCAAAGCAGATGCGGCTTCGAGACCAAGCTCGCCAAACAGCTCGCTTTGTCGACAGTGCGGGCCCTTATAAGTGCTTGTGCAGTCTCTGCCCAGCATCTTGCTCTGCACGGGCCCAAGTCTTATGTTGGCCATGTCGTAATTATCCACAAATTTCGCAGGTTCGCTAGTAACGGTGTGCGGCTTGTGTCTCTTGATAGAGTTGAAGCATCGAAGTCAGGCTTGCACCGTCTAGTTAAGCGGGCTGCTTGCTAGGGCCGCATTCGCCTTCGAGCTTTCAGGAATCTTTTTCTGGGTTGCCAGAATGTGCAGCTGCCAGGGTTCCTGGCTTCCGTGCGAATTCTTCCGCTGCGGGGCCAAAACCATCACAACACCCTAAAAGCCGGACCCCAAACTCCTACCCAACCCCTAAAAGCCTACCGCCCCACACCTTACCTCTTTGCCTAGGGTCGAAAGGGCCCGCTGCCGTCACGTAGGAACCTTGGCGCCATTGGAGGCTGCTTTTGAGGTGTAGCATTTGTCTCAAATTGTCTCCTATGGTTCTTTTTACCCTCATTTGTTTTCGGGTTTGTCGATCCATGAAAAACTGAAGAGACTCTTACTCACAAAGTTTTGCAGGTTGCCGGCTTCAGGGGTTTATGTTCAAGAGACCACCCCGAACAGCACATCAAGGGGGAGTTCTGAGTTCGGCCAGCCAACTTGTCATGGGTTTTGACCCGAAACTTCAGTATGAGAAGCCAAGGTGCCACTTCTTACGAGCATATACGAACATACACAAACCGTACTACAGCGCTGGCTAGTCCAGGAGCCATATTGCCATGGAATCAAGCAGTCAAGGCTCCGGTGCATTTTTCGGAATCCTGCAATCCGGCCCCTTCCAAACACTTCAATTATTGCCTGCCTGACTCTTTTTCGCATGGATTGCTCTGTCTGGGTTATCTTTTTCAAAGTCGCCCCCGAGTGTGACTACTGATACACCCGGAACCCTGAGCGGAACCTCTGCACCGAGCCACATGGTACCAATCATTTTGTAGCTTGCGCTGGAGCTGCAACCAGCATGAATCGTTCGCACGTCGTCCTCTCCGTTGTCAAGGTAGTTGAACCTGCTTATTGGCGGGGGTCTAAAGTTTACAAAGTTTACGGCAGCTTTACAGGGTGAAGAAACTGAAGGTCTATTTCGCGCCCGAATCAGTTTAGGGCTTACGGTCTAGGAATGGCCACACAGTCCATACCAGCATGTCGTAATGCAAGCATGTTGACTGGGGAATGAGGCTGGCAGGCCTTTACCCTTCTGTTGGCTTGGTACCTCTGCAATGCAAACAGCCAAGGAGTCCGAGTTCCAGCACTTCTCAACTCAGCCGAGGAACCACAAGTACATCGTCCCCTTCCTTGGTGCATCCACGGCAAGCAGGCTTTAGGATTCCAGGCCCCTTGACATGCGCGAAACAGCTGGGAATGTAGCAAATTGAAGGATCGGCAAAGCAGCGGTGGGACCCATACGGACCATCTCAAAGGGTGCACCTTTTTGAATCGGAACCCCGCGCCACAAAGACCTTGCAACAGTCATGCGTGACCCCAAGCCAACATGGGGAGTACTAGCAGTCGTCATCGCCGTCGTCGTCGTCGTCGTAGTAGTAGTAGTAGTAGCAGCAGTAGCAGTAGTAGTCGTAGTAGTAGCAGGAG